ATTCTCAAAGATTCTTCACTTGATTCATTGTCATTATTCTTTCTCTCCAAACACAGTGGTGATAAACTACTACTGTAGCCACAGCTGCCCTGGGGCACACTGACAAGCGAGTCTGTGCCTTCGGCCCCTCCCACCACCACGATCCTTTCACACACACACCAGACTTATTCTAACATGGGGGAAGTGTCTTGCCTATGGACACAACCACAGACCGGCACTGCTGCGGGGGAAGATGGAGGATGCGGGAGTGGACAGTAGCCTCACTGTATGGACCATCAACTACCCCACTGTATGGACCATCAACTACCCCACTGCATGGACCATCAACTACCTCACTGCATAGACCATCAACTACCTCACTGCATGGACCATCAACTACCTCACTGCATGGACCATCAACTACCCCACTGCATGGACCATCAACTACCTCACTGCATAGACCATCAACTACCTCACTGCATGGACCATGGACTACCTCACTGCATGGACCATCAACTACCTCACTGCATGGACCATCAACTACCTCACTGCATGGACCATCAACTACCTCACTGCATAGACCATCAACTACCTCACTGCATGGACCATCAACTACCTCACTGCATGGACCATCAACTACCTCACTGCATGGACCATGGACTACCTCACTGCATGGACCATCAACTACCTCACTGCATGGACCATAAACTACCTCACTGCATGGACCATCAACTACCTCACTGCATAGACCATCAACTACCTCACTGCATGGACCATCAACTACCTCACTGCATGGACCATCAACTACCTCACTGCATAGACCATCAACTACCTCACAGCATTGACCATCAACTACCTCACTGCATGGACCATCAACTACCTCACTACATGGACCATCAACTACCTCACTGCATGGACCATCAACTACCTCACTGCATGGACCATCAACTACCTCACTGCATGGACCATCAACTACCTCACTGCATGGTCACTGCATGGACCATCAACTACCTCACTGCAGGACCATCAACTACCTCACTGCATGGACCATCAACTACCTCACTGCATGGACCATCAACTACCTCACTGCATGGTCACTGCATGGACCATCAACTACCTCACTGCATGGTCACTGCATGGACCATCAACTACCTCACTGCAGGACCATCAACTACCTCACTGCATAGACCATCAACTACCTCACTGCATAGACCATCAACTACCTCACTGCATGGACCATCAACTACCTCACTACATGGACCATCAACTACCTCACTGCATGGACCATCAACTACCTCACTGCATGGACCATGAACTACCTCACTGCATGGACCATCAACTACCTCACTGCATGGACCATCAACTACCTCACTGCAGGACCATCAACTACCTCACTGCAGGACCATCAACTACCTCACTGCATGGACCATCAACTACCTCACTGCATGGACCATCAACTACCTCACTGCATGGACCATCAACTACCTCACTGCATGGACCATCAACTACCTCACTGCATGGACCATGGACTACCTCACTGCATGGACCATCAACTACCTCACTGCATGGACCATAAACTACCTCACTGCATGGACCATCAACTACCTCACTGCATAGACCATCAACTACCTCACTGCATGGACCATCAACTACCTCACTGCATGGACCATCAACTACCTCACTGCATAGACCATCAACTACCTCACTGCATAGACCATCAACTACCTCACTGCATGGACCATCAACTACCTCACTACATGGACCATCAACTACCTCACTGCATGGACCATGGACTACCTCACTGCATGGACCATCAACTACCTCACTGCATGGACCATAAACTACCTCACTGCATGGACCATCAACTACCTCACTGCATGGACCATCAACTACCTCACTGCATGGACCATCAACTACCTCACCCCATAGACCATCAACTACCTCACTGCATGGACCATCAACTACCTCACTACATGGACCATCAACTACCTCACTGCATGGACCATCAACTACCTCACTGCATGGACCATCAACTACCTCACTGCATGGACCATCAACTACCTCACTACATGGACCATCAACTACCTCACTGCATGGTCACTGCATGGACCATCAACTACCTCACTGCAGGACCATCAACTACCTCACTGCATGGACCATCAACTACCTCTCAGACCGACCACAGTACGTGCGGCTGCAGCTGTGAGTCTGAGGTGGTCGTCTGCAGCACTGGGGCCCCTCAGGACACTGGGGCCCCTCAGGGCACTGTCCTCTCACCGTTTCTCTTCACCATCTACACCTCAGACTTCACATACGACACACACAGCTGTCACCTGCACAAGTTCTCCCACGACTCCGCCATCGTGGGCTGTGTGTCTGAGGGGAACGAACTGGAATATCTGTCGGTTATCACGGACTTTGTCGACTGCTGTGAGCGCAACCACTTGTGCTTGAACACCAGTAAGACCAAGGAGATGGTACCTGTGCTAACACCAGTAAGACCAAGGAGATGGTACCTGTGCTAACACCAGTAAGACCAAGGAGATGGTACCTGTGCTAACACCAGTAAGACCAAGGAGATGGTACCTGTGCTAACACCAGTTAGCACAGGTACCTGTGCTAACACCAGTAAGACCAAGGAGATGGTACCTGTGCTAACACCAGTAAGACCAAGGAGATGGTACCTGTGCTAACACCAGTTAGCACAGGTACCTGTGCTAACACCAGTAAGACCAAGGAGATGGTACCTGTGCTAACACCAGTTAGCACAGGTACCTGTGCTAACACCAGTAAGACCAAGGAGATGGTACCTGTGCTAACACCAGTAAGACCAAGGAGATGGTACCTGTGCTAACACCAGTAAGACCAAGGAGATGGTACCTGTGCTCACACCAGTAAGACCAAGGAGATGGTACCTGTGCTAACACCAGTAAGACCAAGGAGATGGTACCTGTGCTCACACCAGTAAGACCAAGGAGATGGTACCTGTGCTAACACCAGTAAGACCAAGGAGATGGTACCTGTGCTAACACCAGTAAGACCAAGGAGATGGTACCTGTGCTAACACCAGTAAGACCAAGGAGATGGTACCTGTGCTAACACCAGTAAGACCAAGGAGATGGTACCTGTGCTAACACCAGTAAGACCAAGGAGATGGTACCTGTGCTAACACCAGTAAGACCAAGGAGATGGTACCTGTGCTAACACCAGTAAGACCAAGGAGATGGTACCTGTGCTAACACCAGTAAGACCAAGGAGATAGTACCTGTGTTAACACCAGTAAGACCAAGGAGATGGTACCTGTGTTAACACCAGTAAGACCAAGGAGATGGTACCTGTGCTAACACCAGTAAGACCAAGGAGATGATCATCGACTTCAGGAGAACACTCTCCCACACGCTGCTGAACATCCAGGGGGAGGACATTGAGCTGGTGACAGCTTCAAGTACCTGTGCTCACATTAACAATAAACTGGACTGGTCCATAATACAAACGCCCTGTACAAGAAGGGCCAAAGTCGCCTCTTCCTTCTGAGGAGGCTGAGGTCCTTCTGAGGAGGCTGAGGTCCTTCTGAGGAGGCTGAGGTCCTTCTGAGGCTGAGGTCCTTCTGAGGAGGCTGAGGTCCTTCTGAGGAGGCTGAGGTCCTTCGGAGGAGGCTGAGGTCCTTCTGAGGCTGAGGTCCTTCTGAGGAGGCTGAGGTCCTTCTGAGGAGGCTGAGGTCCTTCGGAGGAGGCTGAGGTCCTTCTGAGGAGGCTGAGGTCCTTCTGACGAGACTGAGGTCCTTCTGAGGAGGCTGAGGTCCTTCGGAGTGAGCAGGCCTCTGCTCAGGACTTTTTATGACTCTGTGGTAGCTTCTGCCATATACTACGCTGCCGTGTGCTGGGCCCCGGGCAGCACAGAGTGGGACAGAAACAGACTGAACAAGCTGGTCAGGAGGAGGTGAGGGACAGGAGGCCCCTGGACTCTGTGGAGGAGGTGAGGGACAGGAGGCCCCTGGACTCTGTGGAGGAGGTGAGGGACAGTAAGTAGTAGTAGTAAGTAATCTTTATTTATATACCGCCTTTTCACTGCAGATCTGAGTCTCAAAGCGGTTTACAATTGTTAATTTTGGGCATTTGTCTCTCACTCCACACAGAGATGGGAGCGGGGCCAGTACAGGAGGCGCATGCCAGAACTATTGTACATATTTTTAGTGGTAGGGGAAACCGGAGTACCCGGAGGAAACCTACGCAGACACAGGGAGAACATGCAAACTCCACTCAGAAAGGCCCTGGCCCGACCGGGATTCAAACCCAGGACCTTCTTGCTGAGAGACGAGAGTGCTATCCACTCAGCCACCGTGCCGGACAGGAGGTGCTAGTCAAAGCCACCTCCCAATGCACAGGACTGAGGAGGAGCTGAGGAGCTCCTTCAGTGGAAGACTGAGACACCCTCAGTGTAGGAAGGAGCAGGGCCTTCATCCCCACCGCTGTCAGACTGTACAACAAGTCACTTTAAGTCACTGCATAAAGACTGAAAAACCTGAACTACTACAGACACTTCTTTCTAATTGACACTTTTTTGTACAAATATTATGTACAAAAATGTTAATCCTGCATTAACATGTTGCACATTTCTTGAGTGTTCCTGTCCTTGCTAATGTGACATGTACATGTTCTGTGTGAGATTAATAAAGTACATCTTATCTTATCTTTTGGCACTTTACAGTCGCCCCACTGTGGCACCTGGTGTTCTCAGCGGTCTCCCATCACAGTGCTAACCAGGCCCTGTCTTGCTTATCTTCAGAGGTCAGACCTGGCTTTCACCTGCAGGTGGCGCCCCAGTGCAGGAGCTAGACGTCCCTAAAGCGTGGTCTGAATCCTAAATTCCTGCTCTGTGTGAATGCAACCAAAATGGAGAAAGAAACAGAAAAACGTTCCTACATCATAAACTTTCACCAAAGTCTGCACTGGTCACAGTGAAACTCCTCATTCTATAAAGTCTTAGAAATGTCTCATCAAGTTTGTTTTTTTGATTTATAGATCCAGACACTTGGAGGATCGTCGTTTTGGGAAAAACTGACTCAGGGAAAAGCAGCTTGGGAAACACTTTGTTTGGAGAAAACACTTTCACAGTGGGCCATACACCGTCCTCAGAGACAAAGTTCTGTCAGAGTGAGACCGGAGTCATCAATGGGAGAAAGATTCGTCTGGTGGACACTCCTGGACTGTTCGGCACAGACAACGATAATGATGAGACCAAAGCCCAGCTAATGAAGTCCATCGTAGAGTGTGCCCCGGGACCTCATGCCTTCCTGCTCGTGATGAAGAAAGAAAAATATACTGCTGAGGTGAAGAAGATGGTGGAGCTGATTCTGGAGATCTTCTCTGAGGAGGCCCTGAGATTCACCACCATCGTATTCACACATGGAGACGACCTGCAGGACTCAGAGAAGATCGAAGACTGGGCCAATCAGAACGAAGATCTGAGAGTTCTGCTGCAGAAGTGTGGAGGCCGCTGCCACGTCTTTGATAATAAATACTGGAACAACAGCCAGGATCCATACAGGAACAACACAGTCCAGGTAATGAACCATCTCAAATGTTACACTCTGATTATTGAGGAAAAAGCCACATTCTAACCATTATTGTGGTCTTTGATGTAAAGGGGCAGAGCTCAGAGCGTCTCTTCATTACAGACTTCACAGATCAGAGCAGACACAACATGTTTTGTCTTTTTAACCTAATAATTGTCTCTAAAACCAGGTCACAGAGCTGCTGGAGACCATTGGACGAACTGTGGAGGAGAACGGTGGAACGTTCTACACCAACGAGATGTTGGAGACGGTCCAACGAGACATTGATACCTGCATGAAGTTAGGGCAGACGTTCGAAGAAGCCAAAGAATTCATCTACAGGCACTGGCTGGAGATCCTGGGCATAGCTGCAGCGGTCGGATTTGGAGTCGGATTTGGAGTCGGAGTTGCAGTGGGAGCTGCAGGTGGAGCTGCAGTCGGAGTTGCAGTCAGTATCACAGTGGAAGCCTTACTTGCATGCTTTCTTTCCAAAGAAATCCGTTCAGAAGTTGCAAAGTTGTTTGCTAAATTTGAAGATATTGCATCCAAATTTGCAGGCAAAAGAAAACAATAAGATTTAATACAAGAATTCACAGATGATTCTAAAGCAGAGGTGCCCACAGATTGTTAAACTGATCATCAGGAATGACATGTCCATATTCTGACAGAGATGAAGTTGGCTGAATGACAAATGTTACTCACCAGATACATCCCACTAAACATCCGACGTCCACTCAACCTCCAGATCACGTCAATATCGCGTCGGTCGGTCCTGACCTTTTATTCACGTCCAAACGACGTCTGTTTAAGGTGCGCATCTGGACGTAAAACAATCACCTCCCATATACGTGGATATGACGTCCAATCCCGACCTCCCCTATACGTCGAAAACAGGTCATCGGCCAACATTCGCATTACGTCTTGATCTAGCAATACAATATATAGGCTGTAAAGCAATGCATGCATGTCTGACGGTAGTGTAGTGGTTAAGCAAATGTATGCGGCCGTAGCAATGTGGGTGCGAGTCCACGTGTGTGCTTCATTATATTTGTTTCGATTTTTAGCGAACAATTTCCTTCTGTTTGGTTAAAGACTAATAAACACTCAACATAGGATTACGTAGTGGCTAATAATAAAACTTGTGAATGTATGCATTTGTTGTGCTAACAATCTCAAGTTTGCAAATAAGGGGTGAACACTTGAGATTGTATGCAAATGCATAAGTTCACAAGTTTTATTCTTAACCACTGCAGAATCCTATGCGAGTGTTGATTAGGTTTTAACCAAGCAGAGAAACATTTTTTCTAAAAAACGAAACGAATAAATAAAGCTCCCGCTGCACCGACATGGTCTCGAACCCGCGTCCCCGCAAACGCAAACCTCGCACTAAACCACTACACCGTCGTCAGACAAAATTCTCTGACTTTAATTTAGAAGTGTTCTCCAACCAGCCGACGCTCACTATTCCTAGATCAAGTAACCTAACATGTGGGTCGGCCGAGGACCTGTTTATCACGTCTAAACAACGTCTTTGTAAGGGGCACATCTGGAAGTAAAACAAAGCCCTCCCAGGCGTTGAATAGACGTTCAATCCGCACCTCCCTACGAGCCCTGCTCAGCCTCTGGAAACTTTAGATTGTTAGTACAGTAAATGCATAAGTTCACAAGTCTTATTTTTAACCACTACATAATCCTATGTTGAGTGCTGATTAGTTTGTAACCAAACAGAGAAAATTGTTCGCTAAAAAACGAAAAATGTCGTAAAAAGTTGGAAGTGCGTCTAAATGCATCGAACCCACTCTTCCGGGGTCGCCAATTTCTTACTAATCCGCTACACCACCGTCACACACAATGATATGTCTTAACAATATTATGTCAAACGCTCTGAACAGCCCACGCCTACTAATGCTAGATCACATCAATATCGCGTCGGTCGGTCGTGACCTTTTATTCACGTCCAAACGACGTCTCTGTAGAGGCGCATCTCGACGTGAAACAATGACCTGCCATAGACGTGGATTTGACGTCCAATCCCAACCTCCCTACCAGCCCTGCTCAGCCTGCTTGGAAACTTGAGATTGTTAGCACGATAAATGCATAAGTTCACAAGTATTGTTCTTAACCGCTTCATAATCATATGGCGAGTGCTGATTAGTTTTTAACAAGCAGAGAAAAAATCTTTGTTAAAAAATGTAAACCCTAATTAGAGTCAACGACAAGCTGACTTGAACCTACGTTGCCGGGTCTTAAGACACTTACATAACCATTAAGCCACCATGTATGTTACAATTATTGAAGGAAAAGTATTAATATATATAATAATATATCACCTATACCAACACCTGTTAACCCAAAATGCGTTTGTAGCACATATTTCACTTTCTCAAATCACATCATTTGGATATGCACAGACGCGTCCCTTGCATTAAATGGCAAGGGACGCGTCTGTGCGTCGCCACCGGAAATGGTCGTTCAGCAGCGATCTGGGCGATTATAAGGCAATCATGACTCTCGGATTCTACCCGTATATACACTACATTGTGTGTTCAGCATAATACCTGTCATACATCATATATATAAAATATCTGAATAATATGTTACTGATAAGCCCACTATACGCCAAAACATGTCCCCTGTATCGTAGCCACTTGTATGACGTTCATAGCAACAAAACAATGCGTGACAATAAGTTAAGTTTCCAGCGAGAAATGATTGATTAATTGTGCTGAAAGCAAGTGACCGGTCCAAGATGGCGGCCCCGGGGCTGTATAAAAGGAGCACTCTAGGGTTTTGCACCGGCACCTCAAAGACGACAACTGAAAAAAGTAAGTAGTTTTTCACACATGGCATACGTGGTATTCATTTGTTGGTACATTATCCGTATTTTGGATTAACCCTTTTGGAACGATGCATGCAGTATTGTTTAAATAACTAATTTTGTAACCACATTCCAAATGTCTAATGTGGGACTCGGGTGATGGAGCTGCTGTAGGTAGGCATGTAAAGACCTTACAGAAGGTATTTTGTTGCTTTTATTTCATTCTTCTGAAGGCAGCCAGGGGATTAAAACTAAGAATACAATATAATTAAATCAGGTACAGTCAAAAGCATTATATGCAGTATAGATGTTAATAGTCCTTACAGCTTTGAGTTAAACATGCCACTTACTAATTAGATCAGAACATCACTGTAGACATGTAAAAGGCAGTCTTCTACTTGTTATATTGGCATTTATGAATAAAATATTTGGCCTGTATGATCAATACATTTATAAACATGAAAACATCTTATTGCCTTCAAAGATAACAGGAGATCACATCCAAAACATGTGCTGAACAGTCTCTGAGTGGTTTTCACAATAGCATTTCACATCAATGTCTCTGCAATGTTGTCATAATGATTTGCTTGATAACATTTGTGAATAATTTTAAATGGAACTTCCTTCACCTTATTAGTTATAAAAATATTAATAAGCCAAACGAGCGCTACTCACTCGGCGACGTCACATCCGGACCCGTGTGAGCCGGAAGTACTTCTCCTTTTACCTCCAACACGCTCGTTCCTATTTTGTAAGGCCATTTATCGCGCTAAATCGATGGATATTCAAGACAACAAGATGTGTACTACTCTGCTCATAGTACGTGTGCACTGCTCACATGTGCACAATAGGCTTCAGGCCGAAGGAGAAGGAGAAGGGGAAGCTTTGGACAGAAGAGGACAAATGACTACACAGTTCGCGATGATTAGGAGGATCGACTTGACCGCAGCCATGGTGAAAATGGCCAACGACATAAATTCAACAAGGTGCAGATGAATGGGACCCCCTCTGATTTGTTCATAACTATGTTCCTCACACGGAGACTTTTCCACTGATTCAGTGGAAATTCTACAGCGAGCGGTACCAGGACTAACAGACCACTGCGCTGTCAGGGGACAGGTATAGTAAAATATACGTGAGTCCTTATTTTAACTCCCTTATGTTTTCAACCTTGTAAATCGATATTTTCCGTTGCAGGTGTAAAAATTTGGAATTCACAAGAAAACAAGTGGAAAGCTTGTTAAAACATTTAAGATTTAAAGATATGTTAGTGTATAATATACAATGTCATCAGGAATGCCTGGAGTGATTATATATAAGGAAGTTGCATTTAAAATTATTCATAAATATAATCAAGCAAATCATTATGACAACATTTAAGAGACATTGATGTGAAATGCTAACAGCACATGTTTCGGATGTGATCTCCTGTTATCTTTCAAGGCAATAAAGGATATTTTCATGATTATAAACAGGCCAAATATTTTATTCATAAATGCCAATATAACAAGCAGAAGCCTGCCTTTAGACATGTCTACAATGATGTGTGTGTGTATATGTATATATACATATATATGTGTGTCTATCTCTCTATCTCTCTCTATATATATCTCTATCTCGCTCTATATCTCTCTCTCTCTAATATATATATATATATATATATATATATATATATATATATATATATATTAATCTATCCAAAGTTATTGTAGGTAAGAGGGTGGGTAATGGGGTAAGTCCGTCACATCATTTCAATGTTGCAGAAAAAGAGGCAGATAAACATAAGAATATTCTTCTTCTCCTCTGCTCCTTTCCAATCATGTGAATGTCTGATTTATGTATATGTTGTGAAGATGATAAGTGCTACAGCATTTTTATGAAAGGAATAAATAAACAATGGAAAAAATGAAATTAACATGAAAGGAGTCATCTAAAGGTCATTACATTTATTCATGGGAGAACATTTATAAATGTTTGAACGGAGGCTCCTAGAACCCCCTTCACCTCGCGGTCCCACTGGTGTAGCTTTGTACGATGTTTGAGTGGTCGCCCCCTCCGAATAGAATAGATACACTAATCAGCAGTCTTGCATAGGGGAAGATATTTAGCAAATCTAGACTACGGTTTATATGGCAGCTACAACCTCTAAAAGGTATCAACTTTATTGAAGGTATTCTTAAAGTGAGAAACGCACACCCTCTTCAGAAGAAAATTTCAGCCAACATTCATTTACAGGGTTTGTACAAGATCCTACTGTCCCCTTTTCACTTAACTCATAGACTGTGCTAAATGGGACAATGACTCAATTATTTCAGATGGCGTACTTGCGGCTATGGAGGAAGAGAAGGCGTGAGATGTTCCAGCTGCTCCAAGAAAGCAGTGAGGAAGAATCTGTAGATTCCAACAATGAACTGCCTCTGCTCGATGCTGATGAACATGGAACTGCATCTGGTGATGTTTCTGGATCTGATCGTGGGTCTGAAACCGATCTTGATGAGGATGTGTCTGGGACTGACCTCAATGTGGCTGACACCAACCTTGATGGCACCGATGAAGAATCAGAAAATCAAAGTAGTGATTTGGATTTTGAAGATGATCTGAGGGAGTGGGCTGTGAAAAACCAACAAACTCACAAGTCACTCAACGAATTGTTGGCCATATTGAGAAGGAAGGGTCACAAATTGCCGGCAGATGCCAGAACCCTACTGGCTACCCCGCAGGAAACATCAAGCCAGACAAATTGTGGTGGCCAGTATGTTTATTATGGCCTGGAAAGGGGGATTTGCCGTTTGCTGAGCAGGGAGATGCATCATGAGGCTATCAATCTCAGAATTAACATTGATGGGATTCCCATCTTTAAAAGCAGTGGTCTCCAATTCTGGCCTATTTTAGCCAAGTTTGGCCATTTTGACCCATTTATTGTGGCAAACTTTTGTGGTCAGAAAAAGCCAACTCCCCTGGAAGATTATCTCCATGACTTCTTGTTGGAGTACAATCGCTTGAGGGACCATGGAGTAATTTACAAAGGGAGGTCTTACTCAGTTAAAATCGAGGCAATTGTGTGCGATGCTCCTGCAAGAGCATACTTGAAGACCATCAAGACCCACACCTCTTATTCAAGTTGCGAACGATGCACCGTGAGAGGAGAGTATACTGAGCGGCGCATTGTGTTCAACAGAGCGAATGACTGCCCACCTCGCACCGACCAAGGCTTCAGCAGGCAGGAATATGACCAACATCAAATCGGCATTAGCCCATTTATAGCCGCTGAAGTTCCTTGTGTCACTGGATTCTGCCTGGATTACATGCACATGGTGTGCTTGGGTGTGGTTAGGCGCTTGATGGCATTTTTGCTGAATGGCCCCAAAACATGCCGCTTGTCAGTGCGACAGAGAATGGCGATTACAGCCAAACTCTGCCTACTACGTGGTAATATGCCCAGCGAATTTGCCCGGCAACCACGAGGTCTAGATACTCTAGAGCGCTGGAAAGCTACAGAGTACAGGCAGCTGCTTCTATACACGGGTCCAGTGGTGTTGCGAAACATACTGAACCCTGAACGGTATAGACATTTCTTAACACTGACTATTGCCATGTCCATATTACTTGACGCCAATGATAATGTACGGAATGCATACTTGCACTATGCACATGAGCTGTTGAGGCACTTTGTATCATCTTGCCCCGTACTCTATGGCCCAACTTTTTCTGTGTACAATGTGCATGGGCTGCTACATCTACATGAGGATGCCGAAAACTTCGGAAGGTCTCTCAATGATCTGTCATGCTTTCCCTTTGAGAACTACCTTCAAAGGTTGAAAAAAATGGTTCGGAATGGCAGAAATCCTCTCGAGCAGATTAGTAGGCGACTGTCTGAGAGCGAGATTGCTACACCAACACAGTCGACGTCAAGACGCACAATATCAGCAAAGCCAAGAGACCGCTGCTTCCTTTTGAGCAACAATCAACAGTTTGCGTTTGTGCTTGAGAGAAGAGCTGATGGGTCTCTTTTGTGTGAAGTGTTGGATAGGTCTCAAACGGTGCCTTACTTCACGCAGCCATGTAACTCTGCCCTTATTAACATTGTGTACGCTAGAAGGCAAACCATAAAAAGAAGGGTCATATGGGAGAGTGACTTACAGCGTAAGGTGGTGGTTCTGCCAGAAGAGGGGGGACATGTGCTCATACCTCTGAGGCATGGCATTGAGCACTGAACATAATTTGTTTTTTATGTTGTAATTTATGTTAAATTGTAATCACCCAGCACTTTGCTGCCACCTTTTAATGAGTGAGCAATGATTTGATTTAAATAAACAAAGCTACATCTGTGAGTATGGTACTTTCTCTGCTGTTGGTCTTCCCACATTAGTCTCTGCTGCTCACTTTGCAATAATTTTGGCAGAATTCCCATTTGTTCTTCAAATGTCTCTTAATCTCCCCCTCATCAGGATGTTTTAATTATTTCAATTCCTCATATGCCTCCATTCTCAATACGATTTACCGTACGATTTACAAATGAGCACTCGACCAAAGAAACCTAATTTCAAGTTGAATGCTGCTACTCAATAGTAATAATATTCTTACAGTCCGATTTTGCCACAGAGACTGCATTTCAGAACAACTGTTCAAGTTTAAACAAGTGACTCCGGTAACCATGCTATGCCGTTTGTTTGATGGTTCAATCAATTTGTCATCTACGGTTATTTGGTTGAATAAGAATAGTTTTAACTCTTTTCTAAAAGTTGTGTTCTGCTTTTCAGATGTATGCCAGAGCTGTATGGGTGGAGAAGGGCAAGGAGATGGAGGGTACAGTTCCCTTCAATTGGGTGAAGGGCGATCAAATATTTTGGCCGAAGGCTCAGTCTGCTTTTAAAGCAAAAATTAATCCAGGGGATGACTGGTTGTCATTCCCATTGATAAAAATTAAAGTCACTTCAGGTATATTTGGATGTCCTATCTTGGTATACTTGACTCCAACTGTTGACCCAATTGTTTGTGGAAAGAGCTGGAATTGTATTGAATTTTACAGACAATTTACAGGAGTGTGAGAGTTATGCTCTGACCAGCCAGCAAGAGGAGGAGGAGGAGGGCGGGTGTAAAGAAATCATTCTCCCCCAGAAAAAACTGGCCAAGGGGTGCTTTGAAGATTACATCACTGGTATTTCTGTTTAATATCATATTGATTATGACAGCATAAATAGATGGTTCTCACCCCATTTCCAGATTCTGATGATGGAGAGGAGAGCAGAATGGGTAAGTGATAATGGATCTTATGCTGAAGCACTGTTTCCAACAGGGGCCTGTCAAGACTATTGCGCACTAGACTAAGCAACTTGCTGATTTAAAATGAATCCTCTATGAAGGGATAATGTGTCAATGGCATAGCAGGGCTACAGAAAATGAACAGTTAAATTAAGCAAGAAGCAGGAGTTGCCAGGTTTACCCTTCATTTTTCTGTGATCTAATATTAATGTTTAAATTTTCAGTGATACAGGTGATCTGAATGGTTACATTTTATGTTCACAACACATGCATGCCTACAGCACACATCTTACTCACACTTATCCCAAGCGCACCATACAAGTTTAATACATGGCACATTGTACCACACTTAGGTGTGGCTTATGGTTTGCCCTAATCAAGATAATGCCTGGAAAATTGTCAGCACTCAAAGGAAACATTATTCGTAATAACCTTAATTTGTGGACTATTTATGTTCTTGAAACTAGGTGGAAAATTACTGCCCTTCCCTATTCCTCCTGCTGACATTTATTCTTGTGAGTAAAAGCTATACAAATGTTGATGATATGGCATTAGAATGACAGCATATTTGACTATGTGGATTGTGCTCTATGTTAAAACAGTGGTGCAAGAACAGCTTTTTTGTTAATGCAGGTAAAAAATGCTTATAGTTAATCAAACAGGGGTTCCAAAACCACTGTTCATTTCTTATGAACCTGTGGCAATTTGAAATGTTTTACATATTTGGGCACCATTATTAATGATGGACTAAATGTATGTGAGAATGTAGATTCAGCACATGACATGTTTATAATTTCCAAAGGAAGTTTTTAAACAAACTCTTGCTTGTTTCAGATACTCAAAGTACATCTATTCCTGTCAATCGGGAAATGTCTCCAGTATGTGAGTATTTGTCATGTCTTCATTTCAGGTCTGTAGTTTAGTCTGTTTAGGTTGTGGCAGTCTCTCTGTACACTTTCAGACTGTAAAGAAATGCCAATTCTCCAACTTCCGCTTTTAATACAGATTAGCAAATATGAATCACACTGTAGTTCTCAAATTTGGAATATGGGCATTTGAAGTCCACAATGGTCATTTTGAATGTCTAATAATGTGTGAGACACCCTGTAATTTGACACATCCAGATTTCCATCCATTATTTTCCAGTTCCTTCTTCCTCTACAACAAGGAACAAGGATGGGTTTCAAGAACGATCCTCCCCACTGAGAGCGAGGTGGCGTTCACAGAGGTCCCGTTCCCGTCAATCCCCCCCACAGAGAGAGAGGTCCCGGTCACATCAATCCCCCCCACAGAGAGAGAGGTCCCGGTCACATCAATCCCCCCCACAGAGAGAGAGGTCCCGGTCACATCAATCCCCCCCACAGAGAGAGAGGTCCCGGTCACATCAATCCCCCCCACAGAGAGAGAGGTCCCGGTCACATCAATCCCCCCCACAGAGAGAGAGGTCCCGGTCACATCAATCCCCCCCACAGAGAGAGAGGTCCCGGTCACATCAATCCCCCCCACAGAGAGAGAGGTCCCGGTCACATCAATCCCCCCCACAGAGAGAGAGATCGGGAAGAAATTTGTCTCCCCACTTTCCAATGTCCACAGCAAGTAAGTTTACATTTTAATACATCAGAGGAAGCATAATGAACGATGCATCTAATGTGCATGATTTTGTTAATGTTGTTAGAATTTCAGAAAAAGGTGTTGGCAAAATTAGTGGCCATTCACATGGACATTAAAAGGGCTCTTCAGCAACCCACTCACCACACATCAAATCTGAAAAGGCTAGAAGAGATGTCAGAGTACTTGAGCTTGGAGGAGGATCTAGCCGACGAGGACACCTTCCAGAGCATGGTGAGTTTTCCACAAAGGAAAATTGCTTGCTTAGCGTGGTGTTGACTGTTTTGCAATTCTTGGTCAGAGGAAGTAACCTAATTAACCTAACTAATATCTGTGATATGAAGGCTGTGGCACTAAATGAATAATACAGATAGCATGTCATGTGTCCTGACCATAGACTGTATATATTAATGGACAGAGTCACGTCTATCTCCGCCGTTCTAACTAATGGGCCAAAAAATGTGCTCTACTGGAGCAATCCAAAATGGCCGCGAGTGGTCCCGCCCACAAGAAAATTGTGAAAAAACGCATCTGCGCATGCGTCAGCCAGAGAGAGCTCCATTCATTTGAACGAGAGACTTAAAAAATTCACAGCAAGAGTGGACCAAAAAAATCCACCCCCCTCAGCATTGACACACATGTGGAACGGAGCTTTGGGCCAAGAGCCAACTTTTGGTCCATCCTGTAAAGACGTTTTTGAGAGGTCTGCCAATGCTATGTGTTAGTATTGGCTAATTCTACTTCTGGGTCCACCCCCATCGGCCCGGGGTGGTATTGCAGCATGTCAGCACACGTCATTTTGGCCACTTTTGAGCTGGGACCCGCACCCACTGGTCCTGACATGTTTTTTAACCTGGTCTTATGTTTACTTCCAGCACTGAATGTGATGTCCTTTCTCTTTTGTTCTCTACAGTTGCAGCAGCTTTCTCGGGTTGGAGGGAAGGACCTGAAGGACTGTGTCCACAAAGTTCTTGACCGGTAGGTTGTGTTATCGCTTTTGGCAGTTAAACCTTTATGTGCCAGGGGTTCTGTCATAATAAACTGGATTCAGACATCTTAATTTCATAAGGCTGTAACTTCAACTTTGTGTCATCCTATTTATTTCAATGATAGTGTCTTATCATTTGTAAGTTAGGTATTCAATTCACCTATCAAATTCGCATATTAAGTAGTCAGTGGTGGCAATCATGACTTTAGAATTTGAATGACATGTTTTACTGACAGAAATATCACTAGGACATGAACACTCTAACTTAACTATTTCACTGAACATTTAGCATGGTGCAATGCTAGTTCTGTTAAAGTTCAGTGTAAATCAATACTGTAAGCAGCCTGCGAAGTGTCAGTGCGACTCTCCCTGCTGTCCCCCTGTCTCTAGGCTCTCTTTCCCGTACAACACGATTAAGGCTTCTCCATCACTTTACTGCCCCTTTGATTTTGGGGATGCACAATAATACATCCATGGGAGCCACAAGCAGGTAGTTGAACAGGTGTTGTACTCTGTAAACACTGTACAAAACCAAACTCAAAACACAGCTGTTCACAGTCTCTATTTCAGTCTAGTCCTTTGTCTTTCTCTTGTGAAATTGATTGATTCTTGTTCTGTATTTTAATTACATGCATAGTGTTTATGTCCTCGGGTTTTTAAATACTCTTAGAATGTGTATTATTGGATATTGTTCAGATATCTTTTACTGAGGCATCTCTTTCCCTCAGATTGTTCAGCAACTCTCTGAAGAGCCACTTTAATATGAAGGGCAGGGGACACAAGGGGAAAATGCCTTTTGAAAAGAGCAATGTGTACAGGGCAATACAGGGTAAGTGGATGTCAGGCCTCATTTGGGGCAGTGGTTTTTTGGCATTCAAAGACAGTTCTGAGGTGTTGCAGAATACTTGACCACATTATGTTGAAAATAAACTGTTACCCCACATTTTCAGGTGCTGTTCTGCTACATTGTAAAGAGGGGACTGAAGACGAAGTGAGGATGTATGTTGGGGATCACCTCAAACATGCCCCAAGACGTGGAAGGCTGGCCTAAAAGAGGAAACTGCCAACGTTTTGATTTATCCATTCACATGCCTTACATGTAATAAATTCACTTGCCATATCCCTTTCTGATTGTTTTTTTACAACTCAGGAACCTAGAGTGACATTTTCTGAATGTGGTGTTGAGCATGTTTTGATACTGATCCGAACATGGTTCATGTGTTTGTACTAATGACACCTTCATCACTGTGGCCTAATAGGGATCAAATTATCCTCAAGTAGAACTTGTATGTACATTTATGTAATTTTGAAAGAATGTTAATTATAATCTATAAAACGCATGTAGTTAGGTGTTGTCTTGATGGCTACAAGTGGGAGCCTGAAACTTCAGCAGTGTTTGGCAAGTTACTTTGAGAATGTAATGTGTTACTAATTACTATAAGAAGCTAGTGTATGTTACTTTTTGTAACAATCATGTTCATTTTCTTTAATTAAATGAAGGTGAAATGCAAATGAGTTCTAATGTATATTTAGGCTGTGCTTATCGTTTATTGCTAAATGTTATGTTGGGTATGTAAGTGATTTGGCATAACTGGGTCAAAAGGACTGAAAAAGGAACGTCGTATGAGCGTGAATATTTTGGTCATATGAGACGTTATTAGAACGTCGGACCCGACCGGTTCTGTACCAGATTCAGACCTTGAATGGACGTGCCATCTACGTTGAAATGACGTTGTTTTCACATTTGCATGCTAAGTGGAAAGGACTGGAGAGGAGCGTCATATAGACGTATATTTTGGTCATATGAGACGTTATTAGAACGTCGGACCCGACCGGTTCTGTACCAGATTTGGACCATAAATGGACGTGCCATCGACGTCAAATTTGGAGGTTGAGGTGACGTCGGGAAACGACGTCGAGAAAACTTTCATTCTGCACCCACCAGTGACCTATATTCTACGTCGGACAACGACGTTCAAATTACGTTGATTCAACGTCGGCTTGCTTAGTGGGATTAGCACTATCTAAGTAACTGATAAATGTCAAATAAATTCAAAGAAGGTCCTGAGCTTTACAACAAGGTGATTATATTGAGCTGAAGTTGGCTGGATGATCTCAGAGGGCTGTGTTTGGACACGTCTGTTCTATAGAATCACAAATGTCTGAATGGAAATTGTTTTCTCCTTAAAAATGTCTTTATTGGGATCAATGTAACTCTTTGCTTTTGTCTTTGGAAAAATCTTCTTGTTAAAAATCAATAAAACTTTAAAAATCAAAACAATAGTTTCATTACACGACACTAATGTGACAGAAGTGAGATATTTGAAGTGTCTTTGTGTTTCCACTGGCCCCGTTTAACCAGTGCCTCAAACCACATTTATTATTAACGACACAGGACCCAGAGGAGAGAGGAGGCTACAGACCTCCACAGGACCCAGAGGAGAGAGGAGGCCCCAGACCTCCACAGGAGCCAGAGGAGAGAGGAGGCCCCAGACCTCCACAGGACCCTGAGGAGAGAGGAGGCCCCAGACGTGCGTGTGTGTGCGTGCATGCGTCTGTGTGAGTGCTTGTGTGTGTGTAGGGTGTGTGTGCGTGCGTGCGTGTAGGGTGTGCATGTGTGTGAAGGGTGTGTGTGTGCATGTGTGTTTCTGTGTGTGTGTGTCCTGACTTTGGGAATGACTAGCAGTCTGTTGCGGAGTAGGCTCATTGGTAAAAGCAGTTCTGAAAGATAAGAAGGACCTAGACCAGGGGTGTCATTCAAAGGGCCGCGGGCCGTATCTGGCCCACGAACGATTTTAATCCGGCCCGCGATATGATTTTGGAAGATGTATAAAATAATAAAAAAAGAGATGCCATTTTTCAACAGAAGAAACTGTGGTTCTAAATGTGTCCACTAGATGTCAATATAGCCATTCTATTAATCAAGCAAACTGTGATACCGATGCCTGTATGGTCAGCACGTTGTTTACAGGTTATGGTCTGAACGTGCTTGGAATTCTCGTTCCCTAACATGTCGTTGCCAATACAGAGAAAAGTGTAAACAGAGTGCAGAGTTTTTCAAGAAAAGTGGTCTTTATCCTTTTTATTTACAGAAGTGAATGGGATACCTGTGTGTTTGGTTTGTTCCCAACATGTTGAAAGAACACAACCTTCATTTCCACTATGAGACACATCATGCCACAAAGTACGATAATTTGAGAGGACAACATTGAAACGAGAAGGTGAATAAATTACTGGTGGGTCTGAAAAAAACAGCAGTCCTCGTTTACTCAAAGCCGAGCAATCAGCGATGCTGCTGTGCTGAGTACAAACCAGTGTGGGCGGGTCCTGGCTCAAAAGGGGCCAAAATGACGTGCACTGACGTGCTGCAATACCACCCCAGGCCGATGGGGGTGGATCCGGAATAAGAATTAGCCAATGCTATATGTTAGATATAGCATTGGCAGACCTCTCATACGTCTTTACAGGATGGTCCAAAAGTTGGCTCTTGGCCCAAAGCTCCGTTCCACATGTGTGTCAATGCTGAGGGGGGTGAATTTTTTTGGACCACTCTAGTTTAGTCGCTGTGGAATTTAGAAGTCTCTCGTTCAAATGAATGGAGCTTGTGCCGGCTGACGCATGCACAGATGCGTTTTTTCACAATTTTTTTGGTGGGTGGGACCACTCGCGGCCATTTTGGATTGTTCCAGTAGAGCATTATTTTTGGCCCATTAGTTAGAATGGCGGAGATAGGCGTGACTACGTCCAATAATTTTTACATTCTATGGTACTAACACCGTATTAACCAGGACTTCCGTATCCGGTGAGTGCCGGAGAGAGTATCCCTCTCTTTACCCGAGTGTCCGAGACACGCGGTCGAAGGTCAGATGATACGACAACAAAGTCGATCATCGACCTCCGGCCTAGGGTGTCCTGGTGCCACGTGCACTGGTGGACACCCTTGTGCTCGAACATGGTGTTCGTGATGGACAAACTGTGACTGGCACAGAAGTCCAACAACTGAA